CTAACCATCCTGCACTTCAGTCTGAAGCAATAGTGGCTTCCCGCGGTCCTGTTTCACTTGGCTGCGATCAGGCGTCCTCCAGTTCCTGTGTGTCCCCTTCCTCCTGAGCTGCCCGTGCCCAGATGCATGTAAGGCGGGGAGTCGGGGACCCTCTAACCGCCCCAGCTTCCCATTTCCCAGGCTCCCGTTCACAAATTTGTCAATGATGTCTTGTTTCTTCTCGGGTTCCTCCGTGAATTGCTTCTTCACTTTGAGCTGCAATCAGACTCGCTATCCTCCACACTTCACATGCATGTAAACAGGTTGCGCAACAAACTGGCGACAAGCGCCCACTCAGAACTCAGAGATACGGTAACCAAGAACGCAGTTCAGATACAAGTTCACTTCAAATGGCTATGGCGGAACAGCGCCTGTACAACTCTCTGTTCACACGCACAGGATCGCCCTGGATATCCCACACGCATCCCACTGTACACACGCGCACACACACTTGCTACACCCTTCTAACAGCTATGGCGGCTATGGCCGCTGCTATCCCTATCACTATGGCTAAGCTCCTTCTCGCCCACTTCGCCTACGGGCTCACTGCAGACCACCTCGCACAAGTCGCTGTGGCAGCGCTTCCGCATGGCTGACGCAGGAATGAATGAATGGCTGGGCGCTACCTCTTGATTTATACTTCTGTATTTCGTTGGTCTGCCCCTTTCCCATGCCCGTGGTGCACACAGTCCCATGCGGTACTTGCTTGACTGGACTAGGACTGACTGGAACTGGGACTGCTGACTAAGCACGGGTGAACTCCACCACTTGCCCACTTGCCTCAGCCTAAACGTGAGCAGCTTCGAAAGGCCAGTACCAGGATCTTCTGGAAGTTTCAGTCCTGGCCTTTCGGATACTGTAGCAGCTACGACCTTGACCCTTCAGGACTGTAGCAGCTACGACCTTGACCCTTTGGAGGAGCTATAGCTACGACTTCTAGAACTTGCTACGACTCCTATCCAACAGGTCTACAGATCGAACCCCTATACCCTACAGACCTACGACAACCTACCACTGTGGGGAAAGACACAGGTCGTGGGTTCAACTCTCGGGGTGGACACAGATACTGTACACAGGTAAGGTGATGGTCTAGGGATCGAGCCCTGGGACTTGCATTCGCTACTGCGAACAGGTGAATACCATTTCAGAGCCAGTCCGCCTGGTATTCCATATCCAGCAGCTGTCTGAGGTCCTCCCACACTCTCTCTGGGGCCACTTCCTGCCCTTTGATAGTTCCCTTACATCTTCTCTTCCAAACTTCCCAGAGTGTAAGCGGGCGAAGACGTCTAAACAGCTTCAGCACCCACATGTCCAGCCCTCTGGGTTCCTGGCGTCCTAGGAGCAAGGCCAGGGGCTTGCCTGGTAGGTTGGTGCCTGTGGTTGAAAGCTACAGACCACGGGTGTAGTCCCACAGTTGTCGGGCTTTTGGGCAATCCAACTTGCAGTGGGTGATATCCTCGGGCACCTGTCACAGATTGCGCACAGATCGTCAAAAGTCGGGCTTTTGGGCAATCCAACTTGCAGTGGGTGATATCCTCGGGCACCTCGTTGTCACAGATTGCACACAGATCGTCGAAAGGCCGCCTGTTAGCATGTGCCCTCCTCTTGCTAAGCCATTTGTTGACATGGAGTGCTTGATAGGCCAACAGTCATTGCATGCTCCTAACCGTGGTGTTGCGGATTGCCAGAAATGTGTTCCACGGTATCGCGGGCCTGAAGGCGCTGCACTGCGTGCCCAGCGTTTTTTCTTTTTCTTTTTTATTTTATAGAAATAGCATGATTTCATTGTATGCGCAACAGGAGGCTGGGAATCCCTCCACATCTCAACCCAGAGTACTGGGGCCAATACCCAGCTTAGGCTCATACTGGAAAAACGGTTCCAGTGGCCCATGCTTTGAAGTCCCACCATGCTATTCAGAGCAAAATATAGAAGCTGGAGTGACAAAAGTACAAACAGCAAAAAGGAGAAAAATCTTCTCCAAAAGCCAACAGGAATCTCTCTACTCAATGTACTCGGAGCATTCCTATTGTCGCCCTCTCTGAGCCCCTGTCTATTATCCTATCTGCCCCTCCCAAGTTTTTCCAGTTCTAACGTCAACCCTACTGTCGCTCCTAAAACCTAAACCCTACTCTAGCTCCTACCCTTACAACCCTTTCTAGCTGTGCCCCCGGTTTTCCCATCCACGCAGCGTCCCCCATTCTTCAAGTTCTGCATGCCCTATCCCCTTACGTCATTGCTGAGGTTTACTCGAGTCTGTTGCACTTTTTTGTTTTTCTCTCGCCTGTACCGCCCCTTCCATCCTCCGTCTCTGCTTACTCTCCCATTTGTGGTTGTGCTGGTTGGTGGGCTGTTGGGTTTGCCATGTCTCTGAGTGACCACCATTTGCACTGGAGCTTGCTGCCCTGTTCTGAGCCGCCAGCGGTGCACTTTTTTTCGTTTTGGGCTGGCGTCTCCAGCCATTGTGGTCCAGTAGCCCCTAGCCCCGAAAAGTTCGGAGTTGGCAACTCGTGATTTTCTGCAAGGCTGGGGCCGTGTGATGGCGGTTTAAGGCTTCCTCAGGCAACCACCCAAGGGCAGGCTGAGAGGGAGATCGTAGACCTGCAAGAACGAAGACAGATGGTTGCCAACAACACAGACGAAAATGGGCCATGCAGAGGGACCAGAAACATCCTAGGTTTTAGGGTTCTACCAGGCAGCCGCCCAGAGGCGGACTGAGAGGGAGATCAATGGTTTGTTTTGGGCTTACTTTTTCTAAAAGGGCCAATTCCACAGAGGGGGGGCAGTCTGCAAAAGCAAGGGCTACCATAGCAGTCAATCCTTCCCACAGGAAGCAATCAATGCTGTCAGAGCTCCACAGGCCGTAACATGGGGAGGCGTTTGAGTGGGTTACAAATCTGCTGACTTGCCAATGGAATAGGAACCAGAGTGACACTCCCAGAATACGAGCACACCCCAAGTGGGCTAGAACTTTATTTAAAACAAAAGGTGGGAAAGGAATTGCATCGGGCATCCCAACATGGACATTCAACCGCACTTCCAGGTGCACTATAAGTGGCTAAGTTTCTTCATTTCAAAACCCAACAAGTCTGTATATTGAACTATATTCGTTCCCCCAAAAGTTAGGAAACCATGTTTTCACGACACCCTTGGTTTGGGTCCGCATGCTCAGAAAGGGCCCGATGCTGGATGAAAGCGATTGGGTAAGGGTTCATGGCAATGAGGATATGGTGGGCAGCATAGTGGAAGCCCGGCAAGTGCATCGGGAAGGGGAGGACAAAAAGTCTGACAGCAGGATTGAGAGGGTACAGCGGGGGAAAGTCAGATGGTATAAAGAGATGGAAGTCTTCCACATCAGGGTCCTCAAACCACCACTACCTTCCCGCTGTTGGGAAAATGGGAAAATAGCCTACTCCAAAAATTTGGGGGTTGGGCCTGGCGGCGGCCACCGTTGATAAACTCATCAGCGGCCGTCGTTTCGTTCCGGCCTCCGAAACAATCAGGTACCCCAAAATGTGAAAACGAGGCCCAGTTAGTGGTGGTTTAAGGAAAAGGACCAATGGCTGGCCTACAAGCGGAGCACACCAATCTCACACCTGGCCCTCTATCCTATAAACTGGACTTGGACAACGCAATTGGGCAGGGCAGGACAGGCAGGAGGCAACTGCATACCCTGTCAGTCAAGGCGGCCTACCGCATACTGCATCCCACGGTCAACTGAAAAGACGTGGTAGAAGCACCTGGATGAAGTGCCTTAACATGGGAGGGATGCCCTCCTATCTATCAAATGGTTCAGAACATGCAGGGCCTCCCCATCAAAGCTGGCTTGATCACAGTGATAGGTGGAGCACAGATGCCTGCCAACCAATGATTGGCTGATAGACAGGACATACTTAGAACAGAAGGGGCTTGCCCTTCCGTGGTGCAAACTTGGTATGGCGTCTTACCCCGCCTGGTGAAGACCGGAGACAATCGAACACATATTCTTTCAGTGTCCGGGTTCAGTCTGGCTTTGGAGATGGTGGGACCGTCTATGGCGGCAAATGGGAACTACTGTGCCTTGGCCATGGGACTTGAAGGCACTACTCTGCGAAGCGTGATGCCCGGAACAAGCCACCACCTTTGAGTACAATATGTTTAAGGTTGGACACAGAGCAGTCGCGTGGGCACTATGGTGGAGACACTGCACTTTCGGATGGAGGGTGTGCGCCTGGAGGGGGCGGATTTTGTGGAATCAATCAAACAGCAACTGCAGGCAGACATCACCATCCAGTGGGAATCAGTAAAAGGAAAGCTAGCATTTTTACACTCAAAGGCAGAAATCAAACAACTTATTGAACAATTCAGCAAAGGCTGGCTGGGGGTGGCAAATGGGGGGTTGAATTGCAAGAGTGGAATGGAAAGGGGGGGAGGGAGAGAACCTGGGCAGCAGTGGAAGGGACAATCGTCTCAGGTTCCATGACTGGAGGAAGATAGACCCCTCCACCACACTACGCCCCCTCTCAGAGTTCCCCGAGCTCTTTCCACCATCTACCCTGGTCATAGTGGAGGAACAGTTGTACGAGGGCAGATGAGCTCCAATCAGAATGTGCTCCGTTTGGGTTCCTTTGTTGCAAAGATGGGGATCGGGGCTATCCATGAGAGTCCACCTGCTAGGAACTACAGATTAGATCAGGTGGCCACATGTTGGCCGAAGAAGCCGGTCTTGCTCATATTCTGCAATTGCTCAATGTTCTGTACAATGTACTTTTCAGCAGGGACGCTGGACCTGTTTTCCAGCAGGTGATGCTCCCCACCAATAGACAGGATCCATCCCCCAGACTGCTAGAGGTGCCTGCTTTTATCAGCGCCGCTAGCAAACCTGGCGGATGTTAACAAAAAAAAAAAAAAAAAAAAAAAAAAATCCAATCATCCATTGCATTTTTATTTTTTAACTCTGATTTGTTTTCCTGCTTTTCCGCAGGTCCCATTGTTTGCCCAGATGGGTGAACCTCTCCAGAAGGACATATGCAGACGGTTAAAGCTGCAGCTGTTCATGAAGAAATCCCCTGTGGTACTGCAGGGTGATCCTATGAACGCCATGTACTTCCTTCTGAGAGGATCTGTTGAGGAGAGGACAACCTACGGCTCCCAGCAATCTTCTGTCATTGTTGGGCACTTCAAGGAAGGGGAGGTTATTGGCCTGGAACTTCTGGATTACTTATTCAGCAGGAGCCAACTAGGTGAACTTGGCAATGATGGTGGTCTAAGCAGAGCAGAGCAGAGCCAACGAGAACAAGAAAGAGGAGGACGAAGAGGAGGAGGACAAAGACGAGGAGGTCGTGGTGACAATGCAATACCTGTGACGCTGAGATTCCAGAGCAGTAACATCATAACGGATGGCACTTCAGGAGACGATGGTCAAGCAGTTGAAAGTGGGCAGTTCCGTTCTCCATATACTCTTATGTCTCTTGAGTTCGTGGAAGCTTTCCGATTGTCTGCGGAAGACATTAAGGATATCCTTCAAAGTTTCCAAAGCGATACATCCCGACTGCGACAAGACCAACAACGCCTGCAGCGTGCAGCCTCGCGAAGGAGGTCCTTGCCATGGCGAGTATGGGCTGCCATGACCATTCAAAGAGCCTGGCGATCGCATGTAAGGAGACGAAGTTCACAGCTACCGCCCTTACCTCTCACCAGGTCGAATGCGTCCCAGCAGCAGTTGCATCACCGCGCACATGCCACTGGTCGACGATCCGGAAACAGTTAAAAGTGCAGTTGATGATCTGCCCAACTTTCAGCATTGCGTCTTTCAGAGAAAAAACCCTTTATTATTGCTGTACACGAGAGTGTGAATTTTGAATTCACGACTGCACCTGATTATCATTCACCGCTGTGCCTTCAGAACGAGGATCTCCAACAACCGATGAGACCTGGCCCCAATGTCTTACCGTGCCCATCCTGTACCAGGGCGTCTCTCTCTCTCTCTCTCTCTCTCTCTCTCTCTCTCTCTCTCTCTCTCTCTCTCTCTCTCTCTCTCTCTCTCTCTCTCT